GAGGTGAGAGGATGTTGGCCTACACCTGCACATCAAGATCTACTGCAGTCTGGCTGTTCAGTGGGACAACTAAAAGTCCTCAGTAGCTCCACAGAAAACAGGAGCCTTGATAACACTGAGTTCATAAAACTTGCCCTGCTTCCTGGAGCTTCTCCACTAGGCTACCTGTAAGTATCATTTAAAAGGGTTTCCTGTTCCCGCAACCAACCCTGGTCCCGAATTCCAGCTCCAAAGGGAAGCCTCCACCAGGGAACAAGCACAAGGACAATGAATTAAAGGATAACCACACTCGTTCTGTAGCTCCAGCTCCCAGACTGCAGGCACAGGGACTCTGTGATGCTGCTTGGCTATGGGTGCTATCCTTCAGCCACAGGGCTAGGAGCAGCTCCTGGCCTTGGCCCCTCTCTCCCTGGACAGCAGTAACAACCCTCCCCTCCCCAACCCAAACACCAGTCTAATGAGGGAGACATCAGACAAGCTTAGGAAGGGTTTCTAAACACTGTTTCTGGGCAGGGGGGTGACTTCTGAGCTGACTGAAAGGAGGCCCCAAGTTTCAGGAATAGAAATGATAGCAAACACAGAAGGAAGCCCCCAGAAACATGGAGGCCGGAAGCTATGTAGGTGTTACACCGCATACTCCAAGAGCACAACCAAACAGAACAACTCCTCCCCTTCCCACTCTACCAGCAAAAGAAGTTTCTATTAACAACAAAATCCCCACAACTGAAAAGGTCTGATGTGCATTGTAGCTTGAGACTCCTTTGCTCTCCTCACTGGGTCAGTCCAGGGAACCTTGACATGTTTACGGCAGTCATCCAATCGTGACACTGAAAGGTACTTCTGCCTTAAAACAAGGGTACCACCAAGTAAACAAACACTGATCAAAACCTGTACAAAAACAAGAGTAGTTATCAAAAAAATCTCAGATGATTTTTAACAGGAGCAACTATGTAATCACACAAGAAGACATCTTCCCACCACACAGCAATGCACGCATGTAAGACAATGCTCACAAGCAGGCAGGTTGTGTGCTGCAGTATTCATGTGCTGTTCAGGCTGCCAGGAGAAATGAGGGCCCCAAAGCTTTACCTAAGCCCTTCTCCTGTCAGGAGGTCTGCCAAGAAAGCCTAAAGTCACAGTGGGAGAGGGAGACACACCAAGAAGCCACCTAGCCTGCTAGCCTCTGTCCAGGGTACTTGAAGAATTAGACTTTCTCTCTCTGTGCCAGGGACTAAGGGTGGGAGAGAGAGGGAAGGAGGGAAGGAGGGAAGGAGGGAAGGTGCTGGGAGAGGAGATAATGGAAGACAAGACAGAGCAGTCTGGGGGCTGCCACACTCCTCCTGTGACTACAGGACCCCATTCTAACATACGCCACAGGGATGAATCTGGGTCTGAAACTAATGTGTGCTGGACACAACCACAGGCTACATTCCTGTCAAGACTAAGTTAGCTTTTAGGGAGGTCACCTTAATGAGGCTTCTTTTTAGCTGGGAGTGACACACCCCAGCAAATAGACAATGACTCCTGGGCTATGTGCTTGAACATTTAGGGAACCGTGGAGGCAGCAGCTTTGACTGCCACCCTGCAGCTGGGATCCTTTTAGGTTTGGAGCAGGGCACCAATTATGTACCACAGTTGGTATTGGAATTGGGAAGGTGTGGAACCTCTGTGTGCAGGAGGCACAGCTGGAGAGGGTAAGTCACTAGGAATGAGACTCGGAAAGTGACAGCCTAGCTTTCCTAGTCCTAGCCCTAGACTTCCTGTCTGACACAGCTGTGTGCATAGCTACTGCCAGCTCCCTCTACCAAACACTAAGAAGTCCCAGCTGTCTCGACTGCCATGCCCTCCCTTCTATGATGGACTATACCATCTAAACTAGATGAGAAACCTTCCTCCCATAAGTTAACTCTCAGGCATTTGGTCACAGCAATGAGAAAAGCTAATGAATATAGCTCTGCTTCCCACTGCCTTCTTGTTCCTTGGGTGTCCTTGTGCCCCTCCATGAAGTCCCTGCATTACAGTCTCTTTCTCCTCAGCAGACATGCTACCTGCAAAGCTGTCATTACTTGTCCTCACCCTGTGATCTCTCAGTGACACGTCCATGTCCCTGCTGCCCACTCCTACCCCCACAGCCCCAAAAGTGTCTGGCTATGCTTCTGAGTCTCCTGAAGACATTCCCCTAATATCTACTGTTTAACACTTACACAGTTGTACCTTGCGCAAGCCCAAGCTCAACTTCCCAACCCAAGCCATACACTTCACACATGGTCCCCGAAGGGTAACCACTCAACCAAGAGCACAGAAGAATGAATTGTGCAGGCAGTGGATCTCCACAACAAGCCATTGTGTCAGTTCCATGTCCTATCTGCCAGGTGACTAGCCTGACATCTATGTGCACAGCTCTATAGGGTAAAAAAGGCTGTGTGGGGATGCAGAGGTAGTCAGGGACAACAGAGGACCTCTGCAACCTGTGTGCAAATACACTATGACCAGCCACCCAGTGCTGAGGCCACCATATCTTTCCTGCTTTGATAGAATATGTCCCTCTGCAACTGTGAGCCAAAATAAATACTTTCTCCCTAAGTTGCTTTTTTTTCAAGGGTATTTTATCTCAGCAGCAGGAAAGTAGCTAAGATAGTAAGACTGGATCTCTAAAAATCTGGCAGGGGTGGCAGTTTGAGCTAAAAAGCCATGTTGCTAAAGCATGTGCTTGCCTATCTTTGTTCTCTCATTGTGAGACAGGGATAAGAGTGTCTGTCTTACCTCACTAAGTTGCTATGAGCACTGAAGGAGCCAATTCCCACAGCATGCAAATCAGTGTGGGGGCAGGGGACCTGTGGCTGGTAATTACGATTTAGATTACTAACTCTGCCTACCTGGCATCACCTTTGACTTGATGCTCTTTTCTGTACTGTGAATTTAGCATTATTCTTTAAGCTGACTCACTTCCTATTTACTTAAAATTTATTTTTAAAGAAATTGTACCTCATCGTGGTACATGGGAAAATAGAATTGTGTCTTAACTGAGAGGCAAATGTAAAAATAAACACAGTGAAAAAAATGACACCTGTTGTTGGACGAAGTGTCAATCACGAGCCTCCTGTGCTAAGTAATTTGGAGACAGAAAGGCACAAAGGTGATCTCCAGAGACTAGACAGTTGTCTCTCTAGCCTTCAGCTCACAGGCCACATGTGTTACAAACAGTGATGACAGTGGGTCAACACTTTGTAGATGACAATATCACACTATAATGTCAGACAGTTAGGTGTCCACACTGGAAGAAGGACAACAGTGGTTCTCAACCCAGGGGTCTTGAAGAAGCACCATGTAGGAGAGGCTCTCCCCAAACCTCTGTCGTCTGAACTCCAGGTGCTGTCTTCTAAATGTGTAGTACAGATGAGACCCTGCTGTCCCCTCCCTGGGAGGCATAGTTCTCAACTGCACAGCCCCATGCAAGCTTCTGCTCTTACAGCAGCAGCATCCTGGCCATGAGACAACATGGCCACCACAGGCACGGCTAGGGAGCTCCACATGACTAGTGTGTCCAAGGAGCAGATGTGCTCAATTTATTTGGCTTTAAATAAATTCAATCTAAACAGCTGTGTGTGTCTAGTGGCTGTGGTGGGGGACGGGAGAGTTCTACTGAGAAAGCTGCACAGGGCTCCTCACAGGCATGGGGCCGTGTGTACTTACGCCCTCAGCTGCCAGAAAAGAGAGCCTTTGAAGCTGCCACAGGGTGTAACGGAAGATGGTCTGTTCCAGCCTTCCTCACTGGTGAAGCCCCATGTGGAGGTTTCTTTTTTAGCTTCCGGTGAGGAATTAACATCTTTTCTTGTTGTTAGCAATAGGATTGCTCGAAATAACCAATTGCATTTCCATTTCACAATGGCTGCCAGCCCTTGGGAAGCTCAAATCACTGGGGAAGACTATGTTGGACCTCAGAATAGTTTCCACTTTTTTTTTGTTTTAAAACCTTTGAGTTTACATTTTATTCAACCCTGGTATATTTTTTCTCTTCTTTTTTTTTAATCATTCTTCTCTATATGTTTCTCTAGAAATTATCTTGAATCTAAATAATATGCATCTAAAAAACTCGTATAAGCAATGGCCAGTGGTACCATTATTTAAATACATCAATGGATAGAATATCCATTATCAGTGCCATGGAAAACACTACACAAATCTTCCTAAAAATGTTTGTAAACACCAACCAGAAACACCATGTTATATATGGAATTAAACACAAGCATAAAAATCCCTCCAAATCTGGCTGCAGACCATGTCCAGATTGTACCAGCCTTGCAGAGCTGAACCTGAAGCAGTCATGTGAACAGATATTAGACACTGTGAGGCACTGAGTGAAGACATCTGCACTCTTTGCTTATCGAGTATCTAGGACTCTTTCTTTTGCAATGAGTATGGGTAACCTACCTGGACATGGTAGCACACACCTGTAATCCACACACTTGCAAGTTTGAGGCCAGCCTAGGCTATATACCAAGATCCTTAAAACAAGACAAAACAAAAACAAAAAACAAACAAACTAAAAACCATAGTCTGGTTTCATTTGGGGCATCATGTCTCATCTTCCCACTCTCAGACATGTGGTTGAATGAGATCAATGCCAACCCAGGTACCAGCAATGGGTCCAAGGAGCCAGACTGAGCCAGCCATGAAAATCAGAATCCTTCATCTAACCCCAAGATTCAGCCACAGACCAGAGATCCAAGATGGACTATGACATGACCCAGGTCTTAACCGAAGCCATGTAGACGGTTGAGTGCATGGTGCTGCAGGGAAACAGCCATCAAGCCGTAGACACAGATCAACAGCAACACTAGCACTAGGCAACAGCAGGAAACTCCATGCACAGCCTCCCACCTGACCAAAGGCCACACAGCACCTCACCAAGGCAGCTCCTGCAGATACACAAATGGTGCCAAACATGCAAAGCACCATGCTTCACAACCATGATGCCTGCACAAAACCCAGGAACTTACCTGATACACATGGAATGCATTGGCTGCTTTGCCTCGGAGAAACACAGAAGGGATCCAGACATTGATCAGTGCCCGATTTGATCTGACCAGAAAAAAAGAGATGAGAGGGGCCATTTTTATTTACAAAGCAAGCAAGCAAACAAACAAACAAATAAAAACCAAAGCAGGCCAAGGGACTACTTTCTCCAATAAAAGGCATTTCAAACAAGACACTTATACAATAAACATGTTTAATACTTATCCCTAAACTTCAGAAGACTATCTCTGACTTTGGTTTAAAGGAGATACACATATATGCATATATTATCCAAGAGTCAAGATAATTTCTGGAGAAAAGTATAGAAAAGAATGATTAAAAGAAGAGAAAATATACCAGTGTTGAATAAAAAAGGATATATATATATATATATATATATATATATATGAATATGAAAGCTATATATATAAAGGATATGTATATATATATATATATTTAAACTTACATAGGCAATGTATTCTCTAGAATAAAACATTTGATCTTCAGTTCTTACCAGCTAAGTGACCTTGACCTAGGATACAGCTGAAACTCAGTCACAGCTGATAAGGAACAGTAACAGGGAGGTCATATGCAGTAACACCCAGTTTCTGGAGCACCCATGGAACCACCTGCCTCCACACTACCTGTTTTCTGACCTTGATCTCCATTTCCACACAACAGCGCACAAAAGCAATACCTGTGGTTTTGAAAGTGACCTTGGGTTTTGAAAGTTTTGAAAGGAGTTCGGGGAGAGACAATAGCAAACTAGAAAAACTCAGGTGCCAGATACAAATATGTTGGGCCCCATTTTGGCCCTGGTTTGGGCCTTGTGGACAAACATGAGCCTGGCTCGAGTTTCTGTGGCCTTGTGAAAGAGTTTAAAACCCCTAAAGAGTTTTGAGACCTGTCTCAGTCACTTCTGTATTGGGGTGACTCAGCAAAACCTGTTTGGCCCTGCCTCTGCCCCCGCTGTTGCTAATGTAGAGCTTTGCCATTGGCACCGTCAGTCACCCCATACCCTCCATTACCCTTGCCTGCCTCCTACACCATCTCACCAAAAATCCCCCTCCCTATGCTCTGAGTTTATATAAGTGAGAGGCTGATGCAATAGAGTTGAGTTCCTGCTTTGACAAGACTCCTGGCCCGGTGTGTTTCTTTAGGGCCGTTGACATTCGCCATCCAGCTCAGCCCCAGAGAGAGAGAGTGAGAGACCCGGCAGGACTGGGACCGCTCTCCTCTTGCCTGGACCTGCAGGCAAGGAGCCGACACAAATACCCTCTTTAGACTTCTCCAAAACACTGTATATAATGCATTCATACTTTAATTCAGTGTTGAACTTGACACATTGGGAAGAGTAACCTCAATAGAGGAACTGTTTCCGTTTCTAGAGAATACACTGCATATGTAAGTTTAAATATATACACATGTTCTTGCTAACTGAAGCAAGAGGACTGGTCTGCTATAGACATCATCCCTGGATAGAAGGGTCTGGGTTGTATCAGGAAGGTAACGAGTGAGGGATAGGAAGCAAGCGCACCTCTGTGGTTTCTGCTTCAAGCTGCTGCCTTGAGTTCCCTGGATGATGGACAGTAACATGTAAGCCAATAAGCCCTTTCTCTCCAGGTTGCTTTTGGTCATGGTGTTTATCACAACAAAAGAGCAGGTCACTAGGACAAGCAGTCTAAGACAAGCAAGATATAAGCTGAACTACATGGGGGCAGAGCACTTGCCCAGCATAAGCCAGTGCCTGGGTTCCATTTGCAGCACCATCAGAACAGGAAACTTCAAGTTCAAAATCATTTCCTGAGGACATTAACTGCACAGTCCACGATTTATGTACACTAAGTCACTCAATGCCCATGAGAACTATTTAAGATGCATTTGAGGGTATCTCAGTTATATGACAGTTCTGCCTTATGGGACGACTTAGGGTACACAATGCCCAACCTGCCGCAGCTCCATTAACCTGAAAGAAAGCAGGGGCTATAGCTATCCAGGGAGAGGAGCCTTCCCTGAGCACCCTTGCTCAGAACTTGTCAACTTCCTGGGCTTGTAGCATAAGCCAGTGGTTTGTGGAAGACTCCATGACCTTCATGTTCTCACGGTCTCCAGAGTGAAAAGCATTCAGTCTTCACACACACACACACACACACAAAAATAACCCTCAGGTAAGCAGCCCTGGCACATGCACACTCTGAGCCAAGGTGGTGATCTCTTTCCGGGGACAAGATAACCTGAATTCAAAGCACAATCAACAATCCTGAGCCATCAAATTGGTCTGTGTACCCAGTGGCACTCCACAGGAAAAGGTCCCAAACCCTGACAGCTACTCCTGTACAGAGTAGCAGCGCCCTGGTTCTCTTCCTTTCCCGTACTGCTAAGGCCAGAGATCCTGCAGGGCCGAAGCAGGTGACCCTACACTGGGTCACATGTTCTAACTCCAAGTCATTTACTGATTGTTGGAAATGACTGTCTATGTGACTCTCCTGCACATAAGCTCCAATGGTCCTCCAGTCCTCCTCCTGTCTATCAGCCATCTGTTCACAAAACAAGTATCTAGCTAGGACTTTCTATGTGGCAGATACAGTGCAAAGTACAGGAGACAGAAGAGCTGAGGAAAGACGTAGCTCTCTGCTTCACGGAGTAACTTGTTCACCATGAAAGGGTGCAAATTACACAAATTACTCTAGATGGCCAAAGGATGATTTCAGTTTTAAAATTTTATTGAGGCATGGTCTAACCTGGAGATTGTCTCGTGTATTTGGGAAGATATCTGTTCTAGCTTGGAATCATAGGATCCACAAAAGCCCATGTGTTAAAGGCTTGGTCCTCTTTCTGTTTGTGGCTCTAATAGGAGGTCACACTTTAACAAGTAAGGCAGAGTGGAAGAGAATTACGGGGTCACAGTCTTTCTCTAATTTTCTTTGCTTCCCAGCACCATGAGGTAGGCAGCTTGCTGTGACCCATTACATCCTGTCTCTGCACAGGCCCAAGAACCATAGATCTACCTTATTATTGATTGAAACCTACAAAACAAACAAGCCTTTTTACTCTATAAACTGATTGTCTTAAATACTCTTATAGTAACAACAGACTAACTCAGGTATGTATTCTATTTGGTGAAGTGCTTCATGTGATACGTAGCTCTATCTATATCTTATCTATAGCATCTATAGCATATCCTTATCTATATCTATGTCTACGTCTGCATATATCCTTATCTATCTATATACCTCTCTATCTCTATTTATGCTAGGCTTAACTGTGTTACAGACTTGCTCAGCTTCAGTTACCTTACTGATCTATCTAGCTGCTCTATAAGTGGAAATGGGATATGCACCCCCTACTGTCATACAACTGGCTTTGTTTCCAACTCTGGCTGGGGCATATATACTGCAGGGTCAAGCTCAGTTTTGACTTTGATCATTCTTCTCCCTCCTCTCATTTTCTCCTTTACCACATTCACCTCCATGGCATCCTCCAAGACAAATGGGGCCCTTAATGTCTTGTGCTGGCCACAGTCTTACTCCAGTTGCTAACATACTCCACAAAGTTGGTTTCACCCTATGAAAAGGGTCACTAAGGCTCAGAGAGAGGGGTTTATCTGAGATCTCAATGTTATAAGTCCAGTGACAAAGATTTCAACACAGATCTCTTGGCTGTAAACAAAAAAGTTCTTTCCAATGTACTGCCTCCCTCACGCTCTAAAAGTAGCCTTTCTGAATGACCCTTCCCCTGGGGAGGCAGGACTTCTGTTGTTGAGACATAGGTTCACTGTGTCTGGTGGGCCTTGAATTCCTGGGTCTGAAACTAGAGAAGTTGGACATACACCCACTGACCACAACTAGGTGAAGAGAAGGAGGGACACCTCCCTGGCACTGGGCCTGTGTTCCTGAGGGGTCTGAGGAGCCTATGGATTACAAAACAGAAGGTATCTGAAAGCTACCTGTAACTAACTGCTCCCTCAGGGGTTCCCAGTAGAGCGTTCACACAGAATTTGAGCCAGTAAAAACCAGAGCAGTGCAGACACAGGCACAGACAGAGATATAGACACAGACACAGACAGAGATGCAGACACAGACACGGGTGGGCTGGACAGCAGCAGGGACCATGGGGCTGTACCACAGTGAAGAGTGGAGTGTGCTCCCTGAGAAAAAAGACCCTCGAACCTACTCAGCTGACTGTGACCTTGCAGGAGTAAAAAATTAAAACTCTATGTAACACCTTCCCAATTTTAAATGTCAGGTCAAAACTAAAGTGATTGTAAGGCCCAAGAAAGAATAAGGCACTTTAGATGGCTGGACCTCAGCTCTACAACCAAATGGACCCTGTGTGGACCTTATAGACCTTTCTGCTTTCCCTTGTAGACTTCAGGATGTGGGCCAGCAACAGGGTTCACTCTCTCAAGGCCCCTCAGGAGCATTTGCATGGACTTACATTTCAAAATCCGACAAACTCTGGTCTTCAGACGTTTGGCTCAAATCTCCAGGCACCTGTTGGGAAAAGGAAGGAGGAGGGGAATGCATGGGTTATCACAGTTTGCACATTCACCAAAAAACTTCTGTCTCTCCTATCCTCAAACACTTCCTCTCCGAATGTGGGGGAAAGCAGCTACTGGAAAACACTAAGATTTTATGGAGGGCTGGCTGGGGATGGTACTGCAGTCATAAAAACATGCTGCCACACATGATCTCAATTATCTTTACAGAAAAAGCACTGTTGATCCTATTGAGATAATCACAGGCATATAAAAGCATGTAATTTTGGAGCCATAAAGGATTAATTAGGACTGATGATGTAAGATATCATCTCTGCAATGAAAAAAATATCTATTGTCAGCATGAGGCGTATCTCCAATATCACACCCAGTATGTGAGAAAAAAAGGCCACTGTCCCCTCAAAATGGCTGTCCTTTTGCCCAGAATGTATGTGTACTACAGACAGAAAGAACATGGAGGCTCCTGACTGACAAGAGCTATGTTAAAACATAATTGGTGACAAAAATCAGACAGTGTCATGATGGCCCTTACCAACACTGCTTGGGGTCCTAGCCATACACCACAAGGCAAGTGTGAGGGCCAGGAGGCATTGACAGCACATAACCTCCAGTGATTACCTAGCCCCCAACGTTGGACTGAGATGGGGATTTAGTCATCAGGGCTGGCACAGGGGCTTAAAATAGCTATGTTCTGACTACCTGATGCCTATGCCAATAGCTGCTAAAATGAAGGTGATGTTATCCTACCATCCAGGGTGGGGTTTCTTACCATCTGGCTCAAGTTGACTAGGATTTTAAGAATCTAGACAAAGAAAGGGGAAGCACCTGGACCAGAGATGAGCGTGAGGAAGCAAAGGGAAATTACCGACAATGTCCATCAATTTCCACAACTTGAGGCAAGGTGCTGTTTCCCTCAACTAACAAGTGAAACCAAGACTTGGAGCTTCTGTCTAGGAAGCAGATACAAGCCAAGTCTGTCCAGTTCAGTCCTCCAATGAAAAAACAAAAACAAAAAAACAAAACCGAAGCCAGCTAATAGGTGGAGTCCTGAGGCTTTCATGTAAGGAGGGCTGGAAGAGACTAGAAGGTACTCCTCAAAGAGAGCAGCCCAGCTGTGGAGACAGGACCATGAGTGAGTGGGAGCCTGGGAGTTAACCTAAGTGGCTTCATACCAAACGTCAGCCCGCCTTCTTCATGGCTCCAAGGTCCTGAGCAAATCAATTCTCTGAAATACACTGAGATGGACAGATTCAAAATTATCTAGAAGATTGGTGAGACACAACTTTGTGTGTATTTGTGAGGAATTTTCTGGAGGCAGCTGAGAGCTCTGTGTTCAGAAGACTTAGGAATCAGACAGACTTCTGCCTTGTCACTGGGCAGACTCCACTCTCACAGGGCAGTACCAAGTTCCTCACTTGTCCAAGGTCTTGTTGGACTGGGCTCTTGTGTCACATTGCTGTTTCTGTGACTATCACTTTCTGTAGGTGGCTAGAAAGAGCTGATATAACATATTCAAAAGGCAGGAGGCTGCAGGTACCAAGATCTCTAAAAAATGCCGTCCTTTAAGAGAAAATCTTTTGCCAAAACTGACCTAGAAGCAACAACCTCATGCCAACCGAAATGTTTGTCAGAGACCATCCCTCAGGCATCAGGGAGTAGCTCAGTGGTAGAGCATTTGCCAGCATGGAGAAGGCCCTGGATTCCATCCCCAGTATTAACCAAAGCCAAATCTCAGGTATTCTTGATTGTAGAAATTAAAATGTATGCAAACTATTCAACTACTTCAACAATGTTAGCTACAGAAAAAGGGCCATGTCAGGAGGCCTCTTAAAACAATTTGTAAAGAAAGTGAGAGAGCAAGAGAAAGAAAGCGAGAGTGAGAGAGCAACAACATGAGAGAGAGCGAGAGAGAGCGTGAGAGAGAGAGAGTAAGAGAGAGTGTGTAAGAGAGAGTGAGAGAGAGTGTGAGAGAGAGCGAGAGAGAGTGAGAGAGAATGAGAGAACGAGAGAGAGCGTAAGAGAGAGCAAGAGAGTGTGTGTGAGAGAGTGAGAGCGTGAGAGCATGAGAGAGAATGAGAGAACAAGAGAGAGAGAGAGAGAGGGAGAGAGAGAGAGAGAGAGAGAGAGAGAGAGAGAGAGAGAGAGAACTATGCACCATCCTAGATAATACACAATAAGCAGTTGGCAGGAGCTGTCCCTGACAACAGGTAGAGAGTTAGCTTGAGAGAAACTCAACTTTCCATAAGATAGAATAAGCTATCTTTGAAGATGCTTTTTAAGAAGGAGTTGACTTTCTCTACATTATGAAAAGATCTTTAAAATGGATCTGTAAGTGAGAAAAACTCTGGTTCAGATGTAAGCCTAATTCAACTAGGGCACCAACATGGAGAGGTGAGACCTCTCCTAGTACCTGTGCCTGCTTTTACATCCAAAATCTGCAGATGGGAAACTCAAGGTACTGAGGGCAGACACGCCCTGTGGGAGCTGGAGTGGAACTGGGCCACTGCATTGAGACAGGCTTTCATGTAGCCCAGGCTGGCCTTCAGCTCTCTATAAAGACAAGGGTGACCTTGAACTTTTGATTCTTCCACCTCTGCCTTCCCACTGCTGGAATTATAGGCATGCACCACCACTGATTTGTGTAGTACTGGCAACAAAAGCGAGGCAATGCCATACTGGCAATGGAAGCTAGTTCAGCAAGCACGCTACCAAGTGATCTACATATCCACCCTCTTAGTATGCATTTTGAAATAGAGTACTACCAGTTAAAACCTTAAATAAAAGTGTGGTAAATAAAACTTGTGATAAAAGTTTAATAGCATACATAAAAGCTTGGTCTTTTTCAAAAGCAATGAGGGAGAATACATGGCCAGTGTGGTCCCTAAGTGTAACCATGTCTGTGGGTCAATACTGTTAGAACAAAATAGAACTAGAAGATGATAGCAAATTCAGATGAGGCTGAACTACCTATTTTAAGCTTTTCTGCAGTATTCTATATGATGATATTTTCACTGATATACATTCTAGGGCAATCAGTGTATCTACCATATTATTAAGGTAAATATTCTTTCTCCAGCTTCTTCTGGGCCTCTTGCAGCTTACTAAGTTACAGAAAGTCAGATGGGAGAGATTTTCCTTCAGAGTCACTGGAACATGTGGGATGGGCCAGGACAGAGCCAGGACTCTGAAGCCATGTGCCCTGCCTCTCACCCCAGTGGCACCTATGTGCAGTGCAGACACAGACAGAACTCCAGTGATGGAGAGGCAGCTCTCAGCCACTGCTCCTCCTTGAATCTTCCCCAGCACCTGAGGCTAGGGACAGTTCTTTAGGTTTAACTGAGGAAGGACCCATAGGCTGTAAGAATAACAGTGCATCAGAGCTACTGTCTTAAAGGCAGCATCTCCCAGAGAGCCTACCTCAGAAGAGCCTCTGAATGTGCTTGTCCCACAAAGCAGACACCAGGGGCAAACTAGAGGGAAGAAAAGGAGAAGACAGAGGCAGGCATCAAGCTGCCATTACAGAAGGAGGAGGTGGCACCAGGTGTTTTCCTGACAGTAAGTGTCCCTCAGGGACAATGGTTTTCTGGGAACATTCTAGACACTGAATGGAAGTGCTCAGAGGTATGTAAGTCCTGCCAGCTTAGAGGCTTTTCTTCTAATTCTGTGGCATTATCAGGATCAGGAAGCCAGGAGATATTTATGAGACTTCTTGAATACTGGAGAGGCTGCTTGGAAGAAAAGGCTGTGACCTTGGGAGCCTTTGGGGAGCCAGGCTGGTGACTAGGCCAGGCTCTGCACCAGCTATAGCAGTGATGGGGAGTCAAGGTCAAGGTCTATGTGAAGTTTATCTGCTCTGCTATCTGTTCAGAGTGATGCCAGATCTCCTCTAGGGCTCTCGCCAGGCTCCAAAGCTGCTCTTTCTTTTTAGTGCTGAAGATACCATCAAGACATCACACACACTTCCTCACTGAGTTATAGCCCAGTCTCTTTATTTTGTATTTTGAGACAGGTCTTACTAAGCTACCAGAGATGGCCTTGAACTTACCTGGAGCCCAGGCAGGCCTTGAACTTGGAATCTTCTTGTCTTAGCCTCCAAATAGTTTGGATTGTAGGTCTGTGCTACCAGGCCTGGCCAGAATGCTAATTTTACAGCACATTCAGGCAATAAATAGGATAGAACAGAGATATTTTATTAGAAAATCAGCTTCCTTTTGATACTAATCACAAGCATATCTTAGACCTCCTGAAGCCTGAGAAATGCAAGGAGTCCCAGCTCTGGGCTGTGAGCTCCTCTTTGGCTTGCCCTCCACGTTGGCATAATGAAGTAGCCAACACAGTCTACCCATCTGCTTCTCATGAAACCTAGAAAGTGGCTGTTCCTTGTTGGTCTGTGATCTAAGCAGTGACAAGGTAGCTGGATGATGGGGTATATGATAGGCAAACCCATCACAGGAGAAACAGACCAGATGGATTCTTGGGTCTTCCTGGGGCAAAAGCCCCCAGTGCTATGCACAGCATGGTAGAGAGTGACAGATGAGATGGGAGAACCCACTCCTAAGCAATACCCGCAAGGTTTCCTGGGGGGTGGGAACAGGGACAGGCCAAAGCCAGCAGCCATTGAGGTACCACACTCTACCTTCACTGTCACTATGGAACTCTAGCCAGAGTCCTGTCACTCTGACATGTCAGTTCTCAAACTTAAGAAGACACCAGAGAGTCTGCCCCAAATGGCCACTATGTGCCCCCTATATGGTTTTGCAATAAGGGGAGGAAGGGGAAAAGGGAAGAAAAAAGAGACCATTAGAAGCTTCCTCATCTTCTTCAGTATCTCCCCTGGGCAGAATCAGGATGTAGGTACAGATAGGAAGGGTAGACAAGAAACATGCCTGATGGTGACACTATGCCAGAGGGTGTAAGCTCAGGCATGGGGGAATGACAAGAGGATCTTAAATTCAATGCAGTGGGTTTACTCTAATGCTGCTTGTATTATAGTAA